TGAAAGAAAAGAATAAGTTCAAGAAGAAGAAATGGTGAGAAATGAAATTGGCAGAGGTAAAGTGAAGGGATAAACCAAGTTGGTGTTAAGAGATATAACACACTCTTATCTTAACTTGGGGTTTGAATCTAGAATTCAATCAAGATATGACACACTTAATTAAATATCTAGAACCTAAAACTCACACTTAAGAGAACCACTCTTAAGATATAGAATTAGGAATTTGGCTAAAATAGCATCACACTATTTTAAGAGAATACTCAAAAGAGTAAACAAGGTTTTTGAATTAAAATGTGCTGCTTACAATGGCCATAAGGCCGAGCTATATATGCACACTACAAAGGGGAAAGAATACATTAATAATGAAGAAGAAAACAATAACAAAGAAGCTTCCTACTGCCTTCCCAAATCAGCATCCAAATGAGTGCATTAATGACAAGGATGAGGGTTTCCTTTGGCTGTTTTTTTGGGGTGTGCATACTTGGCCTATTTTGGAAGGGTCTATTTCGTCCATATGTAGCACAAATAAGTGGGAAACATTGTGGGGCTTAGTGGGATGTTATTTGGCTAAAAATGGGGCTGGTTTGTTCGGCCTCTAGTGAATGAAATCACAAGGAGATATTGGATGAATTTGGAGGATATTCTTTGGCTTGTTTTGAAGAGAGTATTTCGGCTATTAGTGAGCAAGACAAGGGAACATGGTGTGGCTGTGAAAGGAAAGTATTTTGGCTTAAAATGAGTTATGGATTTTTGGCCTTATGCACACAAAATCAAGAAGGATAATTTGAAACTTAATATGAAGATATTCTAGGCTGTATTTGGTGGATTGTTTTCGGCCTTTTGTAGGGGAAAAGGTGAGGAAGGTACACTGCATGTTTGGTTGTGAAATTAGTCAACAAAAGGAGAAACTTTTACTATTCAACTTTAGACTCTTTTTGCTGATTTTTTTTCCTTTGTGGTAAATGGTAATTTTGGTTGGATTTTAGGAACCAAATGGGGCTGGAATTTCATCCCTATGTAGGAACAAGAAGGGAAGTGTGTTATTTGATTATTTAAGGCTTTAAAAAAAAATAAAAGTGGTCTTCTTATTTTCGGTCAAGGGACTTAAAATAAGTGGAGGAAGACTTTATTTGAAAGGAAATAAAAGAAAAGGCATTTTGGATGTTTAGGGATGGTTTGAGGTTTTGGTGGAGCCATCCAGGGGTATAACAGTGAGTGTTGCACTGTCGACCTTCAGGGGGTTCCCAAGCGTAGAGATGATGTTAAAAAGAGCTGTCCGGTCATGGAGATGGATGGGAAGATGAGGTATGGATATCCAGACGGGAACAATGGGGGAGTCCTCTTCTGGTCGTAGGTTAGGAGGCCACTTGGTTACAAACCAAACATCCTTACCAAGTGTCCAGGATTTCCTGAAGAAGAAGCGTTGGTAGTCCTCCTTTTGCTCGAAGTTGATGAGGACACTGTTAGAGTTGAGCTCTCCCACCGAGAAGCCACTCACAAAGCCGAGTTGAGTAAAAAAATTCTTCACAACTGAGACTGAATGTCTCCGCGAGAATCTGCCGATGAGTGCAAACCTGAACCTACGAGTGTCTCCATGTATGCCTTAGAGAAGGAGACTGAAGGACAACCTTTGAACATGGGTTTCTCTGGTGCAGGGTTGCATCCCTCTTGAAAAGCTCTGAGAAGAGCTTGAATCTCGCCGGAACCCTGCCGGTTTCCACTGCCGGAATTTTTTCTCCAGAGTTAGAGAGAGAGGATTTTTACACACGCACACACACACACACATATATGTATGTATGTATATATATGCACATATATAACCAGAGGATATCCTCTGGCTGTGTGGATATCTGAAGGAAAGTGAGAGATTGAACCAGAGCTGGGAGTTGTGACAATATGTGATGTAGTAGAAAGGGGCAAACTCTTGCGCTTGAGGGGAAAGGGCTGTGTTGTACTGGCTTTCCAATGGTAAAGCAGGCTGCTGCTAAGGTTCATCAAGTGGCAAAATCTCCTTTGCTGCTGAGATCTCTTTTTTTACCGCCAAAAGGTCATAACTTTGTTAAAATAAACAAAATTAATCCAAAAAATTGAGAAAAAAATAAAAAGACCTGAGTAAAGAAAAACAACATTGAAGAGCAAAAAAGCATATTAGATTTTGATTAGAAAATGAACTTGCGAAGGCTGAAGAAGAAAAAACAAGCATTTAGCAACAAAAAAATTGCTAAGAAAAAAAGGAGGTACAACGGTGCGAGACTTGCCTGGCAAAGACAACACAGAGACACAGAGAGTCGCAGATCACTCTTCATCTTTGTCTTCCAACTGAGAGGCGCTATGTGATTTGTTTGTCCCGGTGGCTGAATATGGAAGGATTAAGGCGAGAAAGGTGGCCGCCTTGGGGATGTTGCCTCACCTTTCCCTTGAGGCGCTGACTGCTCGCCTTAGGCGAGATAGGCGGACGCCTTTCAAAACTATGATTAATGGGAAAGTACAAGAAAATTTGATATAAAAACTGATTTGAAAACTCTGAATTTCCCAAGAAGAGAACAAATGCGCATCGTAATTTGGAATGTCCCAAAAAAGAAAGGGTGCAAAGTAATTTAGAATGTCCGGAAAAAGAATGTGTGCAAAGTAATGAGGAACAAAGGGAGTATGTTTGCGCATTTGAATTTTCTAATGTTTTTGTTTTCAGGTCTCTTCATTTAAATATTTTCAAGCTGCCTCTATTGATGTTTTGCATTTGGTTTTATTTACTTCTACATTATGCTGGCCTTCAGTAAAAGTTGTCTGTTAGTGACTTAGCCCTATCTTCTTTTGGTGGAAATGGGGGGTTTGAAGCCAAGCTAAATGTTAACTGAAACCATCTCAAACAATGACACATTGAATTTAGGAAATGGGATGGATTTGGGAAGAACACCAGTAGATGGGATTATTTCCATGATTTTTTCGTATTACACAATTGTTTATTTGACTTTAGGAACAACACCAAGTCGCACACAATTGAACCAATTCCTAGCACGATGTAGTCTTTCTTCTATGATCATCATCTTGAGTACTTACTTCCATGTAGGGTCTGTATTTTTGGGGCCATGGACACCAGAAAGCATTGGAGATTATGCGAGTGGTACAAATCATGTCCTTCCGACTTATGGGTATGCACGGATGTACAGCGGGGTCTCTCTAGACTCATTCTTAAAATACATCACAGTACAGTCTCTGACTGAGGAGGGGCTGAAAAACATAGGTCCTTGTGTTGCTACCATGGCTGATGTTGAAGGTTTGGAAGCCCACAAGAGAGCAGTCACCCTCAGATTGAAGGACATTCAAGCAAAAGAATTGCTTACTGCTTAGATGATTCCCAGTCTTTTTAATCAAAAGCTATGAAATCTGAGAGGATATGCAATAGAAGGGAGATAAAAATGTCATTCCCCCTAAAGGGAAATGTCATTCTCCTGCGATTCGTTAAATTATATTACTCCCTCCGTCCCAGAGTATTTGTCCAGTTTGACTTTTTCGAGTCAAACTGGACAAACTTTAAGCTTCAATTAAATAAAAACCGTAAAGTATTTTAATATAAAAATAACTTTATTGGATTTATCATATTGAGAACTTTTAAAATTGTATTTCATTATGCTAATATGTAATACAAATTGAGAGTAATTGGAGTTTAAAGTTTGTCCAGTTTGACTCGAAAAAGTTAAACTGAACAAATACTCTGGGACGGAGGTAGTATTTTGATGTTTTTTTAATTTTTGCTCCACAGACATTTACCTTTATTGGATTTGATTATTCATCTTTCCCTTTCGAGATGAAAACAGGTTTCATTGAAACCCTTTTTATAAGAAGACCTAATGGCAAAAATTTGTAGTAAAAGAATTGTGCATTTGTGATATCTAATTTCCATCGTAGTTCCCAAAGAAAAATCTGGGCTGGATTAAGTATGCACTCAACTATCTTGGCCGTTATTCTTCAAAACTGATCTCTGCTGAAATGTTCAACATTTTTTTTAATCTAGATTCTCTCTATTTCTTTCTTCCTGGGCAATTTCTTTCTTTCTTTGTTGGAACTTTTCTTCTTTCCTTTCTACTTCCTCCGTCCCAAAATATTTACAATATTTACTTTTTCAGAAGTCGTGAGAACTTTTGTTTATTTTTACGTTTTCATTGGTTATTTGATAAAATAAAATATTCTTGACACCTCTTATTTCGAAGAACTTTTCATTAGTTTTTTTATATGTGAATTTTATTTTTTATTTCTATACCAATATGTAAATAAAATAAATTGAAAAAATTTGATATTTTACCTCGGAAATACAAGTGACAAATATTTAGGGACGAATGGAGTAATTGCTATTTTTCACTATTTATTTTCCACTCTAATACTCTTTTCGGTATTTTTTTTAATCTAAGATTTTCATACATTTGACGAAGGTCTTTGGCCTTGATTGAATGTTGGATGTCAGTTGTTCGTGCCAGTTGTTGTGAATGTATGTTTAGTTTAGTTGGTTTGATCGGTAGGATGAATTGACTGATCGTTACAATTGTTTGGTAAAATTAACTGTTTGAAAATAGTTTTTCCTATATATGTATGTATGTATGTGTGTGTGTGTGTATATATATATATATAGACACACACACACACACATATATATACACACACACGATATTTATTTTTCATTTTTTTTACATGTAAAATTTAAATCTTTACTATATGGAGTATTAAATTTTAATTTCATTTAATTCATAAGAAATTATTAATATAAAATTGTTTAATGATTTTTACTTTTTTTTCTCATTGAAATTTTAATTTTATTATTTTAGTATTTATTTTTTTAACTTTTTTTTACATATATTATAAAATATCTTTCAACAAAAATGATTTTAAAAAAAATTAATTTTTTTAACAGTCAAGTCCAAATGCCACTCTCCTTAGCATTTCAGATTTTGGCTTTTCGGATCAAAATGTCAAGCGAAAAACTCATTAGCCAAACAATGGTTTTGACTGTTCGTTTAGTCAAAAAAACAAAAATCAGTCAAAGATGCCAAAAGCTATCCAAAAAACTGTTTTCCAAACACGGCCTTTATATCTTTTGGTAGTTTTTTCGTAGATTTGACCGAGGCCCTTTGACTTAGTGTCTTACATGCTACTGTAAAAACATCTAGCGTGTATAACTTATTCGTCAAATTTACATTAATACTCCGTAAAGAACTTCAGCTCGTCTTATCTATTCATATTAATAAATTAAAATCAGTGATAGAAAGGAAGACTAAAATAGAAGTATAATATAAAGACAAGATGTTATTTTTTATGTTTTTATCCCCAAATAACACCAAAATTCAATTTTAAAAAAAAAATCTGCGCTAATCATTTTAAAAAATGAATCTTGTCCATTTTGTGACTTAGTGTTACTACTTCCGTCGCATTTTAAATTGCATGTTTGCCTTTTTTTCTCCGTCCTAAAATAAGTTGACTCTTAGTTGTTTTCGTAAACTTTTAATAGTAAAATACCTAAACTACCTCTAAAATAAGTCATTCTTCTCCACCTTATCTTCTCATTCATCGTCATCCCTTCTAAAAAGTACTGACAATTTCGGAAAATTAACTCTATTTTTTCTTTTCCTTAAATATGCCCAAAAGTCAAAAAAGACGATTTAAAAGACGGAGGGAGTACTATACAATTTTAATCGAAATTATAATGTTAAAAGATGGTCATGTACGTGGACAAACATTACACTAAAAAATGCCAAAGTTGTTAATGTATACAGTAAAAAATACAAAGAAATGCCAAGAGACAATGTGATTTAACAACATACTTTGTTACATTTGCATCATACACCATATTTAAAAAAGATGCAAAATCACAAGTGAACCATTCATCTTTAGGCCACAAAATGAAAATTTAAAATGCTTTTAAAACAAAGCAGATCCTAGCACACGGACCTAAGGTCCATGGTGTACCTACACATGAGGATAATACGCATTTTCTTAATGTAGAGATAAACATTTTTATTTTTATTTTTAAAAAAAATTTAAAAAACTAATTTTTATGTGAGAAAGTCTACAAAATTGCCCTAAAAATTTTTATGGACCTTAAGTCCACCAAAGAAGCACTCTTAGATAGGATCTAAATTAGTTTTGAATAATTAGTTCTTTAGGGACAAGGGATATGTTTAATTTTAACCTTAGATTATTTCTTTCATTGATAGTCATTAATGAACGATTACTTCCACTTTTCCAAAAAAAATAAATAAATTAAAATCATTATCATGTAAAACAAAATTGGCACGTGTATTAGTGGAGAAATGGTGGCCAGGGAAGAAGATAAACATGGAAGATGTATGGGATATTATTCCAATATGGATCAAGTTTTTCCAGACTTGGACATGAAATATTGGAGTATTAGTGGCCTAAGTAAAATTGGAAGCCTTGTTGGGAGGCCTATCAGAACGGATAAAGCCGCTGCATCAAAATCCAGGATTGGATTTGCAAGAATTCTGGTTGAGCTTGATGTTAAACATGCAAGATTTCCCAGAGGAAAGGAGAATGTTTATATTGTGAAAAAGAACTTAGCTAGACACTGGCAACACTATATCTTAATCACAATGTGCCCCCTCTTGGTAGAATTTGGGTGATGTGGGATGTGAAGAAAGTTAGATTGGAGATTAAAAGTGCTTCAGCTCAGTATGTACACTGCTTCGTTAGAATACGGGATTCCGAGGTGGAGTTCTTCATCACATTTGTATATGGGTTTAACGACAGGAAGGAGAGGAAAAGCCCGTGGAAGGATATCATGGGTATAGCATCCAATATGAAAGAAGCTTGGTGTGTAATTGGAGATTTTAATACCATCCTAAAAGCTTGTGAAAGAACTGGTGCCAGCCCTGTAACAGAAGATGAAACTAAATAATGATTTCAAACAGGAAGTGGCCTTGAGGAACTCCCTTACTCTGGACCTCTATTCACTTTGAATGATAAACAGGAAGCTACAAAAACTATTATACCACATGAAGGAGTTTCTGACCATTGTCCTCTCATTCTGAATAAGCTAGAAGAGACTCATGCCTCAAAACCACTCCAATTTGGTGAAGAACATCTGGGATACAAGTGTTGAAGGAACAAGGATGTATCAACTGACATCTACGTTGATTGGATTCTGTGTTACATCACCTACTTTCTCTTTGAAAATTAACGGGGAAAATGCATGGGTTCTTCAAAGGGGGAGGGGTCTCAGGTGGGACCCTATCTCACCCCTACTGTCTGTTATAGTGATGGAATATCTGACAAGGGTTTTCCAACACTTTGCCGAGATCAAGGAGTTCAAGTTTCACCATAGGTGCAAGAACTTAAAGTTGATTCACCTAAACTTTGCTGGTGACTTAATAGTTCCATGTAAAGCAGATCAGAGGTCAATCCAATGTATTATGGAGTGTCTCAAGCATTTTTATAACACTACTGCACTTCAAATTAATAGGCAAAAATCCCAAATTGTGTTTGGGGGTGGAGATAAGAATATGGTAGAGCAGATGCTGCAAGAAACAGGTATGAAGAGAGGAAATCTACCTTTCTCTTACCTGGGTATTCTAGTCACTACTAGCAGAGTTAATAAATCAGAATGCAAAATCTTAATAGATGAAATTACATATAGAATTACTACCTAAAGTAGTAAACATTTGTCATATGCTGGTAAAGTGAAGCTTACTAATTATGTGCTCTTTGGTATAATGAACTTTTGGGCTAGAATTTTCCTCCTTCCTAGGGCAGTGATTCATGAAATTCAATCCATCAGCACAAACTTTTTGTGGATAGGGAAAGCTGGTTATGCTAGAGCTCCTCCAATTAACTGGAATGATGTATATTTTCTACTTAATAGGGATGGACTTGGTATAAAAAAATGAGCTTAACTGGAATAAAGCCTGCATTATGAAGCTCAACTGGGATATTGCAAAAAAGGACATCCTATGGGTGAAATGGGTTCATGCAGATATATCAAGGAGATGAACTACTAGGAGTATGAACCTAAGACAACATGTCCGTAGTCCTAGAAACCTATGAGCAATATCAAACAAGAATTCAAAGAGATGAAGGTGAAAGGTAGCTACACTGTTGGAGCATGTTACGCATGGCTTAATGATGTGAAACTTAAAACGAACTGGTATAAGTGGTTTGGAATAAGGGTACACACCCAAAGCACCAGTTTATATTATGGTTAATGTTACATATAAGATTACAAACAAAGAGTAGGCTGAAAGCCTTTATGCAAATTCCAACTGAGTGTCAGTTGTGTGAAGAGGAGGAAAACCTGGAACACCTCTTGTGGAAATGCAAAAAGACCTAGGACATCATGTCAGAGGTATTTAAAAAATGGGAGATTACTTGTAGAGGGAACTCACTAGAGTCTATGGAGGAACAGATCATGAGATGCATTCGAGGAGTAAGGAGCTAACAACAATAGTCTGGGCAACCTTTAGTTATAACATATAGAAGATGAGAAATGGTAAAGTGAACAGCAGGATCATCACAATGGAGGCAATGCTCAAGAACATTGACTTCTATATGAAATGATTTTCTTTATGTAAACTGAAAAAAGTAGTATGGATCCAACTAATTGCTTGTATTTGATGAATAATATTTGGTGATTAATAAGAATGTGCATTTTGTCCAAAAAAATGGCACCTATAGAACACACAATCTCTCTCAATGGTCCTTCGTTGATGACAACTTCCAAGTCTCTTTTAAAGTTTATGTTTTCTTTTTTTATGAAAAAAAAATGCCAAAAATACTTGCCAAACGGATAATATTTTTTGAGGTTACCATTGGCATTGAGAAGTCTGTCTCTTTTAGCAGCAAAAAGGTCATGAGAACGATTCCATGGATGATACGTTGCTC